GCTGACGTGACATCTGAGCCATTGCTTCCTTGAGCCTCTGTGTGTCACCAATATGTGATTGATATGGATGAGGACAAACCTTGAACAGTTATGGGGACTTAAATGGCACCTATGTCCCCATGCAAGGGCACCGTCTGGAACAGATGACAGGGGATACCTGGGGAAAGTGCCAGTGCATCTCAGCAGGGTCATAAGTCCAAGGGGCAAAGCTCATGGGGGGGAGGGGGGTGAGCCCTGAGAACATGACCATCAGACCTAGGGAAGCTTATTTGAGCACCAACTGTATACCAAGCCCCAAGTGGTCTCATAGCAGCACATTCAATAACTGAAGTCATTTGGCTTGAATTCCCTACAAGTTTTCCCACTTAGCAAGCTTTCAGATAAAAAACTAGGAGACTACTGTCTGTTTGCCTCTGTGGAGATTCTATGATTGCAGTCTCAGGACATAACCAGGGAGGGGGCTGTCAGAGGAGGGCAGCTATGCTGTGGGATGCGTTCTTCCCCATGTCTCGAGTGAACTTCCAACCCAGCTGACATTCACCCTCTGCCAGCACCCAGGGGAGGCTGGAGAGAGCAGTGCCTCTGAGAGCCTACGCCAGGTGATTTTCCATTCTACGCAGCTCCTGGCCAGCACCATCCAGACCTCTGCACAGAGCGCATCAATGACCTCACGGAATGGCCCCATAACAGAGAAGCCAAGCAAGGACAGCACAGTCATAATCACCATCGTCATGATCATCAGTGCCATCTCACCATGATCATCCTCTTCACCACTGGTATCAATAGTATCATCATTGTCTTACCCATCATCAACATCACTGTCATCTTCATGACCATCATGATCGTTGCCCCCCTCACCATCAATGGCTTCATTGTTTTGATCACCATCTTCACTCATAGTATCAGGCATCACCATCAGCAGCAGCAGCATCACTAACATCACCTGAAGAGCAGCTGACCCAAACTGAACAGATGGTACGTGCCAGACACTGTAGCATCTCATTTAATCTGTGTGGCAGGGTCCTGAGATGACTGCATCTATGATTCTTATTGAGGTACAGAGAGGGCAGCAAGTTTCTACATTCACACTGATAAGAGGTGAAACTAGGCATCTCAAATGAGACTTTTAACCACAGTGAGAGTTGATTTCCAAGTTATTTCATCTGCAGTGGGATTTCTGAACAAGGGACCCTTTGGTGATCCCAGCAGGTATTCCATGTAACATTCCTGGTGAATTTTAGAGTCCCCAAATCATTAGCAGCCTGCCTTTCTGATTCCCATAATGCCTGTACTACAGACATAAAGGAAAATGTAGCACACTGTTTCTAAAGATTTCTCTACAGAAGCAAAAATAAAGCTCACAGATTCCAATAATCCTTTCGACAGCAGGTTTGACTTAATGAGTTCTTCATGTCACTTCTTAAAACATGCTTCCACATTTTAGGTCCTTCCTGCAGTGAATGGGCCAAAAGGATACTGGAGATGACAAGACTCCCAGTTCCTGAAGGTCAGTCAGTTCTCTGCTGGAAACAGGCAACCCTTTCTTCAAGGCCACTTTTGCTGGGTATAAAAAGAACTAACCTGTCTGGTTCTTCTTAGTGGCAGGCACCATATTTTATGCTTTGTGTTGATTCATTGAATCTTCACAACAACCATTTAGGAGACAATACTTATTTTCATTTTGTTGATGAAGAAACTGATGCCAGGAAAGGTAAACAAACAAACAAACAAACAAAAAACAGCCACTGGTCTACACAGCTACATGTGGCAGTTTAGATTCACACACTGAACTGCAGCCTCAAAGCATATGACCATAACACACACAGCCTCCTGCATGCTACAGTTCTGTGACTCCACCAAGACCATTCTTACCTCCCTGAGTCCCTATGGTATGAGTGAGAGTGTTCACTTCCCATGAAGATCTAGGTACCCAGAACTAAATCCAATGGCTGCCAAGCCCAAGAGGATCTACAGGGGTTCATCCCTCTGAAACCCCCACACCCACGCCCATCCATACATGCAGAATTTAACCGTTTGTAAGACAGGTACCACCCTGAGAATTAAAAAAAGTCATCAAGAAGTCTGTAGCCTAAGCAAAGAGGTCATCTTCCCCATCATCTGACAGCTGTTCACAGTATCTAACGGGAATTGCTCCAGCTTTGGCCTAATTGCCCCTGTTTTCGGGTCTTATTCACTTATACCATAAGATCGGGCTGTGATGAAGTCATCTTGGCATATCCTCTCTTCCCTGAGTTTGGCCTGGAAGCTGAGGCTGCAGTCAGTATGTACCAAGGGCTACTGTGAGTTTCCAGGATTCCTTTTAAGCAGACAGGCCGCATGCTCTAGAATTAGCATTTTTCTGCATGCAGAGCAAATGTACATACTCCTCCCACTAGACACACACACACACACACACACACACACACTTTTAAAATTTGTTTTGCTAAACAAATTAATCTAGCACCAGATTATATTATGAAGAACCATAAATCCTTACCAAGATAAGCATCTGTCAAGTTGGATTAGTACCATCCAATGTACTGTGAATTAATTTGCTAAGCCTTATAATACTGTCCTGGGCGTTTAACTTTAGTAATGATAAATGTAATTTGGAATAAATGGGAACTTGTTTTCCCATCCATGTCTATATAGTGAGTGAGTATGCAGAAGGGATGACAGTACGTGACTATAGCATTAAATTTCATCATGATGATGGCTTGGGAGTTTATTGAGGGAAAAAAAATAAAACAAGGAAGCTCAGTGAGCTGTGGGAAGGTGCCTGATGCTGAGATGATGAATTATGGGCCATGTGTACATAGATTCTTAGGGATGCTAGATGGGAGATGGTGTACCACACCTCTCCCACATCCTCTCCTGGGATGCCTCACATGCACAACCTCCAACCCTGAGCCCTTGACCTTGGCATCGGATGCAGCTAGGTCTGCTTTCATTGATACACTGCTCTCCAGAGGAAAGGAACTGAGAATAAAAATTGCAGAGGAAGGAAGTCACTCAGAAGCTGAATGACAAAAGGCACATGCATTATGAATTGAATTTTGTCTTTAAAAAAAAGTGTTGGACTCCCAATCCTATCCCTGTGGATGCTATCGATCTCCTTTAGGAAAAGGACCATACCAGCACAGGACTAACCCTAAGCACTTCTGAGTTCTAAGGAGCAGTAGAGTCCCAGAGATAAAGACATGCAAGTAGGGCAAGGTAGGTGTTACCCATGAAGACAGAGGCAGGTGAACTTCAGGCTCAGGATCAGAACAGTGCCAACTACGGCTACTAGAAGCTGAAAAGGCAATGATTCAGTACTTGACTGTTAAGCAAAGACAAGTTAGCAGTTCAAATCTACCTAACCAACTCCACAGGGAGTGGGAAAAGAGAAGTCTGTCCCTGTCAAAATTACAGCCAATAAAACCCTATGGTGCAGTCCTCCTCAGGCAAAGGGGGTCACTGTGAATCAGAATGGACTCTATTCAACAGCACCCAACACGGAGGACAACACCCAACAACGAGGACAACAGGAGGCACTCATAGACAAGGTATGACCCAAATGAGGGAATTTGAATATAGATGTCCAACTTCCTACTCTGTGAGGCAAAACATCTCTATTCTTCAAAACCACCCACTGGTGGTCTTTGCGTTAAGGCAGCATTAGGAGATTAAGACACCATGGTGCCAACCATTGACCACACCCTGAAGCCCAAAGGTGGGAATTGTCCCTGGCCAGGACCGAGCATCTAAGAGTAGGTGAGGAGCTTGCCCTTGGCTCTGCAATCAAGCTGTGTATGGGGTCACTGCTCTGTACCTCCAGCCAACTGTGGCGTGGCACACGGTGGCTACTCCTTTCATATCAACTGTAGAACGAGGCCCAGGAGGATAAAAGACCAAGAGAAGTGGGCATTTTAAAGCCCCAGAAGGTAACTGGCCTTAGAATAACAATGGCAGAAGGACAGGGGCCATTAGTTCTGCTCTGTGTCCTCCAAACTCCCTCCTAACCCATCTCTGGGGAGAAGACACTGCAGCCCGGGCCCCTCTCTCCAGTACCAGTTAACCCCCACGACAGTGGTCATTACTGGGTCTCCCTTTCCTGCTCTCTAAAGCAGATTTCCTCCTGGCCTGTTGATGATTTAACTGGGTCCCCCGCGAAAGAAACATGTGCGCCCGAACCCTGCCCCTATGATCATGCCTCTGTTTGAGAAGAGGGTCTTTGAGAACATTCTCAGTTCAGTTAACAGGAGGTCAATGTGCCATAGAGTGGGCCCTCATTCAATCCGAGTGGGGTCCTTGTGAACGAGGACCACAAGCACAGTGAGACAGACAGAGGAAGGGAGGACAGACGAAGATATACCTACATGCCAAGGAACACTCATGGTCACAGGAACCTGGAAGCGATAAGGAGGATCTTCCCCGAGAGACTTTAGAGAGAGCCCAGCCCTGGAGACATCCTGAACACCAACCTCTCCCAGACTCCCGCCTCCCAGTGCTGAGCCAACTGTCTATTCTGGTAGTCACCTAATGAACCGAGAACATGGGCCATACCCTTGAAGCTTCCAGAAGAATCTACAGGGCTCCTTCAATTTCCTCTTGAGATGTGCCCACATCCTGCCCACGTACAAGAGGTTCTGTGGTCTGGAAGACATAGCTTTGTGCCCACTGCAGTTCAGCCAGTCCTTTCTATAACACCCTAGGGTAGGGATACTAGGAAAGATTGTACCCCACCCTGACTTCCACCAGCTAGAGGAGAGACCATGCTGCTTCTCTCCAGAGCACGAGGCACTCTCCCTGTGTGCAAGTCTCCAAGCTCATCAGTTCCATCTCCCCCAACACGCCACGTCCTCACGTCTGCCACCACCCACCTTTGCTCTTGGCTCTCCCACTGGGAGTCACAGGACACTCAGCAGCACCACTGGGCACATAGCCGCATCTTCCAACGCCCACCCACACAGAACCTCACCCGCTGCCAAGCCCAACCCACACAGAGTTGGCCATACCTGAGGTCTCCCCCAGAATCCTCGGGGGTGGGAGCTCTTCCCCGTCGTGGCTGGGGCTGGTGGAAGGCGCTGTTGTGCTGACCCCCACGGGGATCCTGTTCCTGGGGTCCAGGGACTCCGTGAGCCCCTTAGTCTGCAGGGTCACGGAGGTGGCCAGGGTAGGGGTGGTGGTGGTAGTGGTGGCCACCGTCGTCTTCCGGGTTTGTATGATGGAGACTGTGGTGGGGCCGTACACCCCCGGAAACGTGTTGGGCTCGGCGGCGTCCTCCTCGCCAGTGGGCCCCCAAGCGATGAACTCCGTCTCGGTGGTGGGCCTGCTGCCTCTGAAGTCGAAGCTGCCAAAGCCGCCCCCCTGCAGGTGCCGCCTCCCCCTCCGCAGGAGGCTCTGGTGATCTGAGGCCCCGCCGCCTGCCGTGGACGACGTGGACGTGGACGACGAGGCCAGGGAAGGACTGGGTCTGGCAGTGGCCGGTGGCTTGGCCAGCCCCCCTCTGGGCATGAGGGCAGCTGCCTGGTCTCTGGGTCTGTGTGCCCGTTTGGCACGGGGCGTCTGGATCTGCCCCTGGGTCCGCTCCACGCGGGGCGGCCGGGGGCTCCACAGGGTGGCGGCCATCCGCGAGGGTTGTCCACTCTTAAAACTCCACAGGCGGGGCGGCCGGGGCGGTGGGCGCAGCAGGAGCCGGAACTCGGGGCCCGGGCCCAGGGACTCACACACTGGGAGTTCGATGGCGAGCTGAAACATGGCTATCAGTATCCAAGCATGGCTTCCAGCAGAGCAGCCCGGCCAGCAGATGGACATGGAACTGGTGGAGAGAGAGAGAATGTCAGTGTGGGGTCGGCAGCAAGCGGTCCAAGGCAGGTGGGGTGGGGAGGCAGCCTTCTCAGAACTCCAGCACTGGGACAAGGAAACTCTTTTTTTTTGTCCTGAATGCTAATCCAGATTTCAAAAGGAGAAGCAAAGCCCTTCATTACTCTACTTCAAAGGCTCATTCAGGGCAGCCGGAGGATCGGCCTCTGTGGTTACCTGGAAAGGTTGTTTCTGACCCTTCCTCACCTGTACTTCCGTTTTTCTTCTTGAATACGGGAGGGGCAGAGCTGGGTAGCCCATTTTATGGGAGGCAAGACAGCTCTGCAAATTCCCTTGACCCTGCCCAAACTCAAATCAATCAATCAATAGATAGCCAGGTGCCAAAATTTAAGTAAATACATAACCAGTTGCCCAAATTTAAATAACTAACTAAATAACCAGTGGACACACACTGACCCCGGGGGTGCCAGCATAGAGCTGGGCCCCACAGGGTTTTCAATGGCTGGATTTTCAGAAGCCGATGGCCAGGCCTGTCTTCTGAGGCACCTGTGGGGTGGACTTGAAGCAATGCCTGGTGGTGATGAGCTCAGTGCAGCGCCCACGACCCCACCAGGGTTCCTGTTGGTTGGCGGTCAAGTTCTTAAACGGGTGCCTCACCCAAGGAGTCTAGGCAAGTGGTCTTTCATGATCTTCCACCTCCTGCCCTCTGCCTGCACCCATAACAACATCGAGGTTCCCAGAGACCTTGGAATGAGGCTGGGGACAAGATCTCCAACTCCCCTCCCCAGACCAGAGTCTTTTCTCTGTATCATGGGAGTTCCTGCCACGAGGTGGTCAAATTTGAGAATCAACTGCTGCCAAGCTGGTGCTGACTCCTCGTGACCCCACGGGTGCCAGGCAGAGCCAACTGTGCTACTCCACCGGGCTTTCTGGGCTGTGATCTCATGGAAGTGGGTCACCAGGCCTTTCTTCCGAGGCACTGTCCGGTGGACACTCACCTCCAGTTCACAGCTGAAAGCGTTAACCCTTTGCATCACGCAGGGATTCCAGAGTGCTTTGAACCCCACTAAGTGCCTTTCCAAGGAGGGAAAGAGGGAGGTTGGAATGGGCAGAGGGGGAGGGGGTGTCTCCATTCCCCTACAATAAGCTCTAGGGGACAAGAGGGAGCATCCAGGACAGTCATCTCCTGAGCACTGACCATCTTTCCCTTGAGCCCCCAGGCATCATGGTCGAGCTTTGTGTGTGAAAGCAGACACGTTGCACTAAACACCACGCACAGCAAAAGCACCATACACGTGGTCTTCTGTGGGCTTTATGTGGAGAGACCAGATTTACACAGGACAACCTTAACACTCAGTCACATGCCACCGACCCTTCCCAAGGGTTGCCCTGCTGACATTTCTGCTCTCCTATTTATCTTCAGGGACCATGCCCTTTAAAGCCCATTATCCAGCTCCTCAAGTCCAAGGCAGAGTGGACAAAGGCAGCTGCTCCGCGGCCAGCTGCTGGGGATGCCTGGAGCCAGTGCAGCCCTGTCGAGGGGCCCCCGGGGTCTGCTCAGCAAGCGCAGCTCACTTGTGGGCCCAGGTTGAGCTTCCCAGGCGGCAGCCAGGAGCAGCACATAGGAAACTGCGTGGCACAGCGGTGAGCCCGGCAGCAGGGTGTGATGCTGTGTACCCACGCGCCTCTCCCACCAGCACAGATAATTGAGCCCTGATTCCATGTATCACTCAAAGTCAGTTCTCGTCACCGACCTCCCATCTGAAAGTTACAAGGCATCCAGAAACTTGAATGACAGCTGTGGTGGGGGTGGGGTGGCGGGGGTGTTCAGGTGTGCAGAGCTGCCGTCCTCCCACCACACCTGCAAGAATCCACCCAAAGCCAGACTGGGGAAAAAACATTAGGCTCAGTGGAGTTTCTCGGGGAGGCCACGTGAGTGCATGGTCTCAAAGATACAGGTGTCTGAGAGTGAGCGTCCGGAGATGAGAATGTGTGTGTGTGTGTCTTGTAGGTATGTGAGTGCATGACACTGTTTCTCAGGGTGTGCAAGAGTGACTATGTGGGAAATACACGTGGACACATAAGTAGATGTGAGCATGTGAGTGGAGTTAGTAGTGTGCTTGAGTGTGTGTATTGGTGAGAGAGCCTGAGTGTGTGTGAACTTGTGTATGTCTGGTTTGCAGAGTTGGATGCCTGGGGGAGTGTGTGTGAGGCTGTGCAGGTCTGCGTGTCTGTTTTAATGCACCCATTTGAGAGGGAGGTCGGTGTTTCTCAAGGGTGCGTGCCTGTGTGTGTCAGTTCATTCATTGGGATTGCCTGTGCTTGTGTGGGTGGGGGGGCATGCATGTGAGTGGAACGAGTGTGTATGACTTGGGGGTTGTTCGTGTGCGCGTGTCAGGGCTTTCAATGTGCAATGAGTGAGTGGTGAATGTGTTGGCATGTCGGTTGTGTTTGTGTTTGAGTCTGTGTCTGAGTAGTCATGTTCCCGCTTTCAGTGTGTACGTGAGTGCACGTGTGCGTGTGGGCATGTCTGCACGTGTGCTGAGCCTTTGAGTCTGCGCCTATGCATGTATGTGTGTCCATGCTTCCCGTGTGTATGAGTGCACGTGTGAGTGCACGTGTGGGTATGCCCATGTGTCTCTGAGTGAGTCATGCCATACATTCGGTGTGTATGCGAGTGCGTGTGGGAGTAGGTGTGTTCATGTTCAGTGTGAGGTTTGAGTGTGTGCGTGGTGACCCCGCCACACTCAAGCCAGCTGGCCAGGCCTGGTTCTCCTCTTACTGCTCCTGTGAACCACATGGCCCCTGTGGGTCAGGAGGATGGGGAGAAGAGGAAGAAGCTGAGTCTATTAATGAGCGTTCATTAGCAGAAAGGGCTAACCTGGGATAAGCAGGCCTGGTTTGCAATCAGCAGGAAAGTGCTTCGCTGCAGAAAGAGGCGGCCTCATGGTGCTTACTGCCTGTTTCTACCGCTGCGCAAACAAAGCGCTTTGTCGGCACAGGCGGCCACGCGGGGCACGGAGAGCAGCCCAGGCGCGGGCGAGGAAATATGTAGGTCAATGTGAAATTCCCATCCACACACTCGCAGTACACCGGGCAGTGCTTGGTGGCTAGAGGGTGACCTAGTCAGATCAGAGACTTACTTAGAGCTGACAGCTCCTTGAGAGGCCCGGAGAACCACCAGCCTGCAAACCTGGGCAGTGGTCCGCTCTCCAAGGTGACTGGACCTGCTGGCCTGGCAGAGGCAGAAACACACCACCCAGGGGCCCTGGCGGGCATCAGCGGACAGGCAGAAGACGAGCAGCCCCATGCAAACCGGCTGCCATGGGTCCCTCAGAAACATCGCCCCGGGAAATGAAGGCCGCCGAGCCTCCGTCTGCGCCAGCCAGCCTGTTCACCCAGCATAACTTCACACGCAGGGGATCGCTGAGATTTTTCACCAATCAGGAGCTGTAATTGGTTGCCATGGAAACCCCCTCTTCGTCACCAAGTCACCCAGCTGTTATGCAGAAAAACCAACCTATGGCAACCACGGGGAGAGTTTGATTTGTCTTTCCTTCCCCAGCTCAGGGTCTTCCCTGTAACTCCATGGCTGTGTTCGGAGAGGGGAGGTCAAATGGAGGATCGGCGGAGGGGCTGGAAGAACCTTCAAGGGGAGATTTGGGGTCTTCTGCTAGAGTGGAAGACCCCAGGCACTTTGCTTCACCACAGGTGGGGGTAGGCTGTACTTCGGAGTAAGAGAGATCAGAGCCATCTTAAGGGCCATGTGGGTGCCACAAGCACCTCTCACACAGCCACCTCGCCCAGTGAGCTCTAGGACCCCACACCTCACTCCAGGTACTCTGCTACCTGAGGCCTCAGCTTCAGGCCAGGAAGGCCACCCATACTTCTCATTTCTATGCAGGGTCAAGCACAGGCCATTCATCCTAGGGAGACTTTAGTGGTGCACTAGTCGCTGCCCAGAATAGCAGTGGATTCCACCTAGCCACCGAAGGCAGGCCCGTGGTCGTCAAAGGACTCCCTCCCAGCAGGAACAGCGAGAACAGGATCACCACAGAGCACAGTGGGTGTCATGGATAGACAGCATCAAGTGTTGATGAGGATGTGGAGAAACGGGAACCCCCATGCATCGCTAGTAGAAAAGTAAATTGGGGCAACTGCTGTGAAAACAGCGTGACAGCGGCCCCCCTCCCAAAGGGATGCATGCACCCAGCCATTCCGCTCTTAGGTATAAACCTATGTTCACACAAAATCTTGTACAGGAATGATCCTAGCAGCATTTTTCCTAATAGCCCAAAGAGGAAATGACCCAAATGTCCAACAACAGGTGAACGGATAAACAGAATGTGGTCCATTCATACAGCGGAGTACTATTCAGCCATGAACAGAAACTGAATTCTGGTGCATGCTACAACACGTATAAACCTTGATGGTATCATGTGACGTGAAAGAAGCCAATCACAAAGGACCACATAGCACTTGGCTCCTTTTAGACAGAAGATGATGGAAACCAGTGAATCTATAGAGACAAAGAGTAGTAGATTCATGGTGGCCAGGGGCTGCAGGGAGTGGGGTTGGGGGGATAGGGTGTGATTGCTAATGGGTACTGGGTTTCTTTTTTTGGGGGGTGATGGAATGTTCTAAGGGTTTACAGTGGTAAGGCTACACGATCGTGGCAACGTACTAAGCCACTTAAAAGGCTCATGACGTATATCTCAATGAAGATCAGAGAATGTAGTAGAAAAGCAGGGTGTGCCAGGGCAGGAGGTCTTGCGTTGTGCCCAGTCATCATCACGGACCTTTGGGGTGGTGAGTGGGAGGAAGCAGGGCCCCGAGGGCAGCATCAGCCTCTCTGAGCTGCAGGGCGCATTGCAAGGGAAGTGTCATTGTCAACTGCCCCCATCTATCTATTGAGCCCTTGCTGGCATCTAGCAGGAATGGGCCCACATGTAGCTTTTGGTTCCAGCCACCGGCTCCCACATGCTGCAGAGGGCG